ATCCGTCTGGATTTTGTCGAGGACCTCGAGATGAACAACGGGGGCAGCAGACCATATATAGCAACAGTATTCAATGCAAGGACGAATGGTGGATTTGAAGGATGGACTTAGGCGAGAAGAAAACCAATTGGAGATATCTTCCACGGGGAAAGATAACAACCAGTAATAAAGAGATATGAAAGAATCAGAAATATTACAATCTGAAGTGAAATCAGCACTGGGCAAATTAAACAGAAACAAAAAGACGGAATTGCGATACATGATATTGCCATTTAAAAGATTAGAGACATAATAAATAAAACATGTAATAGTATGGATGTTGTATACTTCTCTCGGTCGGCCATTGTTATTTGTTTTAGTCCAGCGATGAAAGACTGCAAAGACAGAAAATCTTAACTATTTTTATTAATCATGTAACATGTACATTATCTAACTATCCAGTTGGGGTCGCTCCTTGTAACTGGGGAGCCATTTCAGACAAGAAAGGGAACACGTCTACATCGTTTGACGAGTAAGAATCATTTCACTGAAACCTTACTTCTCTCCCTTTTCCACGCACGTTCAGCCAATCAAAATCGACTTCCCTATTATTGCTCCCATCTGCCCCTAGCTGTCAAGCTCAGGAAGTTGGAGCCGAGATAAATTTCCTCTAAAAATAATAAGTCTTCTAAACTATTAGTTAACAGTGATATACCGTAAAACCTAGGTAAATACATTTTAATAGCACTCCCAAAGAAGCTAGGCGCAAATAAATGTGGACTCCATCGGACATCAGCCTAATGACACTTATATCGTATCATGACGAACAGAGCGTGCCGCAGATTAAAATTAATAGATTAAGAACTGTGCGGATTACTTAAAGACACTGGAACAAGGAATACAATATTTATGCTCAGAATGATATCAGAAAGTGCAATACATTTGCAAACGGATATATACCTATGTTTTGTAGGTTATATCAAAGCGTTTGATAAATTATATCACAGACAACTGCTGGAGTTGCTTGGTAACGTTGATATATGCGGAAAGGTTAAAATAGTTCAAAGCCTATACTGACAGCAAACCGCCTGCATAAAGAGAGGAAATGAATTCAGTAAATATACAAAAATAAAAAAGGTGTGAAAGACAAGGATGCTTGCTAGACTTTTTCAACCTTGGCAGCTAGGCCATTCTGAGAGTATTAGAAGTCCTGCCAGAATTCATTATTAGCGGCCATAAGCTTAACAACGTAAGATATGCAGATGACATGGAATTTAGTGAAGGAAAAGGATAAGAAAAGAATACAGAATACGTAGACAACCAAAAAGATAAATAACAAATTGGGGATACCGAAATCAAATAGGTGCAACAATTTAGATATCTGGGAAGCGTAGGACGGATAGTGCGACCCGGAAGTCCGATGGCGCATTAAGATAACGAAAGATGCTTTCCAAAAGCTAAACCAAGTATTAAGAAACGTAAAAATCTCGTTAGAAAAAAACGTTACTGAAGTATATAACAGTGAATGCTGAACAGTCTCTTCAAAGATGAAGAAGAGAACTGAAACAACAAAAATCAGATTCTACAGAAAGATACTGAGAATACCCTGGACAGAACATATGAGCAACGAAGAAGTTATAGAGACATGCAAGTCCATCGGTGATTGTTCTTAGTGTAGAATGCAATGAACATCGGAAGAAAAGTATTTCTGGTGACCAGATATTATTTCAAATGTTAGCAACAAAAGAAGATATGTATTAAAAATATGTATTATAGACAGGAGTCAAATTAAGCTTGAATCGTGCGATTAGCAAGAGCAATATATAAGAAATGAAGGACCAATATATTTCCTATAGAAGTCTGATACCGAGGTTTTGTTGTCAAATTGAGCCTACGATAATTAACTAAATTTTTTTCAACTGAAAAAGGAAAACATATAATGAGACTTAAAATCATGGTGGGATGCTTCATTTGCTTTAATCTGGCATTCCGTCAGGATGTCAGAAAAACAAAAAAAAAATCCTATATCGCTTAGTTCCCTTGGGTTAGTGTAATTATGTTTTCGACGCGAAACCATGTATATACTCCAGGCTTTGCAGAAAGCAATTCTACTGTTTTCGCAATTGTGATTATTTGTCTATGTCTTATGAAAATACATTATTTAGGATTGGGCTATATATAATGTAATAAAAATCAGTAATAAAATAGTTTCAGTGTTCAGAGATTAATGCAAATTTTACTGAATTAATTATATGCATAATATAAATGAATTCTAGTTATTTTACTATAAAATGTGTTCGGTCTCTATAAAAGTCTTTACGTATTTTAAGGACAGTATTACATATTTGTGCATAAACTTCACAAATATTTATGCACCATTTTATTTCCATATCTTTTGATATCCCTTCCTGAATCTATACACCTAGAAATTGGCATTTTCTAGGTGATGAATTAATCTAAGTGATTTTTATAGACTTTTAAAGAATTGGCCTACTTCCTACGAAGAGAATTTGTAGGTATCAATATAAGTGATAATCCGAAGGTAAAAAATCAGTTCCTACCAATTTCAGCCATATCTGAGAAAGGAAGTTCGTTGTTAAAAATATTTGTTTATTTTCGCAATGTGAGCAACGACTACGTACTTTCGGCTTTCATAAGCAATAATTAAAGATTTCCCCTGAAAAAAAGATGTTTGGTATCGCAGAAAACATTGTTCTTTCGTAATATTTCAGGAAAACTCAGAAATTACTCAAAGACTGACAAACGTTCTTGGCTTTCAGGAAGTGGAAGGATTATATTGAATCCATTGCTAGATCAGCTGGTAAGAAAATTGGTTCTCTGTGTCTTATAAAAGAATTTTTCTTTCCAGAATCTATACTACATATCTTGTCTTCTATTCCTTTAGAATACTGCTGCCACATATGGTCCGGTACTCCTGCCATTTTGTGTAGAGTTCCTTGATAAAATACACAGAAGAATCAGCAATATTACTGGTCCTGATCTGGCGTCTCGGCTTCAGCCACTCTCCCACCGCCGTAAGTTTTTCTTTCTTATCAATATTTTCATGTTACCTAGGCTTTGAAGATAAGCGCCGTACTAGACTGGCGTCGAGATCTCATCAATTAACAGACACGTTTGCTAGATGTAACCGTAAATTCTATGCTAAAAGTTTCTTTTCTCGCACTTCTCACTTGTGAAGTTCCCTTCCGGCTCCATGCTTTCCAACCAACTTTTATCTTTAAAGATAAAGGGAAAGGCAATGACAATCGCTATCTACTTCCCTCCTGATTGTTCATCTTTTGATCTTGCTCAGCAGTAATTTCTATCACAACCAGTAACTTCTTAGTTGCTTTACTGACTAGCTTAGGATGATCTCAATTTAAAAAAAAAAAATCTTTAACCGGAAACCAGGGTAATTGTCCGAAATACTTAAAAGATCATTTAAATAGTTATACCGGCGCACACAAACAAGTATGCAAACAAATGAAGGTATTATCATTGGTCAGGAAGTTAAAAGGATGGTTACTGGTCAGAAATTAAGTGCAAGTGTTCTTTTTTTATGCGCCATGACTGTTCAGGAGATAGATCATTATCGTTGTTGATAATTTGCTTTCTTTTGTTATCCGTATGACACTAAGTTGTGACTCTTGCAATAAAATCCAGATGTAGACCTCCATCGGTTGGTGACTATGATGCTTTTAAACGCAAGGTAGATGATTAAACACTACTAGCAATCGAAAACTTTCAGAAAAATAGAATCGTTGCAAGATAGCACAAAACATTACATACGCTTCAAATTTTAGAGCTGATTAAAAAAAAAACGAAAATACTTCTGATACTCAATATGTCTGTATTACGCCTTTGAATTTCTTTTTCAAACATTGTCAGTTTACAAGCTGAATTACTGAGGAAATTTATTTACTAAAATTGTGACTCTCCACAACTTCATGTCACTTGTCACCCTTTGCGAAGTTTGTCTTTTCGTCTTTCTTCATCCCTGTTCTTCAAATTATTTACCCAAGCTCGTTAAGTAAGTGATGTGTTGCTTTCGTCTGTCCATCGTGCCTTCAATATGACTATGTGTGTCAAATTTTCTAAGCCCTCTTTCTTCATTATGTATGTTAGAGATGTTACTGAATGAATAAGGACATTATATGTATAATGTAAATGATTTCTCTTGTTTCCTGATAGGATTTTTTATTTAGAATCAAGTAAGAAAGGGGCTGTCAATTATAATGCAATAGCAGAAGGATGCACAATTGAAAAATATTTATACTTTGTGATGCTATCATTGGTATCAAAGAAATTTATATAATTTTTTATATTCTGAAGATGCTGGATTGATTTGGGATAATTTTAATAAAAACACTTTTGAAACTAGATATGCAACTATGAGAAACACATTTAGTTATCATATGATAGAAACTACCGCAGACAATACTGATGTCTCTTACTTTTGCCCTTTTGCCAGACTTACCTGATCGTGATAAGGGTTATTAATATAGATTCGACATAACTTTAGTTTTTCAATGGCAACAGTGTCGTCTTCATTGTCCTTGTATTCCAGATACTCCAGGTACATTAATCTGAAATGCAAACATTCAGTTCCCCTTCGAGCTTTCAGCACTTAAGAGATCTGAAATAAGTCCGATCAGAATAAATGTGATTGACTGTCATTTCACGCGACAGTTCAACAAAAGTCTCCAGTTGACTTCCACTCTATTTGGTGAGACATGTGGTGAGATCAATTCGATCATGATTGTGTGGACATCGCACAAATAAACACAATGTCAATGGTAATTAGTGCAAAAGACGATCAATGGGATCAGATTCGCAGGATTTTCCTGACTTTGGGATCAACAATAAATTTGGGAATTAATTTTATTTAGCACACGATTTTCAACGCTGTTTGAAAGACAGTAATATTCAATGAAACGATAAAAGCGGAGATGTACTTTCACATGTATCTCTGCAACTACCTGAGCCTGTTCTTGTCTAGGTCTGTCAGCATATAATTCGTTATGCGCATATCTATCTATCTATCTATCTATCTATCTATCTATCTATCTATCTATCTATCCCAGTCTGTTCTTATTTATTTATCAGTCTACCTTATCCTATCCATATTTGCCAATCTAGCTAGCTAGTAAATATGTTCCTCTCTTTACATCCCTCCTCTTTGTTTGTTTGTTTGTTTCTTTCTTTCTTTGACAATCTTTTCATCTCTATTTTTATCTTTTTCATTCTGGTTTTATCTATCTATCTATCTATCTATCTATCTATCTATCTATCTCAACCTGGTCATTTCTCTCTCTCTTTCTCTGTAAACACACACACACACACACACACACACACACACACACACATATATATATATATATATATATATATATATATATATATATATGGTTTTATCTGGTTTAGTTTGGTTTTCTTTATCTATCTATCTATCTATCTATCTATCTATCTATCTATCTATCTATCTATCTATCTAATCCAACAAGGGCAAATACTCCGTCAAATATTCTACCCATGTCCGCACGTATATCATTTGTTTCCAATACTGTTTACAGGTTATCCGAGGACATATCAGAACTGACGTAAAAAAAAAAGCAAGATTGTTATCATATTTTTTTTTACCAAAAACTTACTATCTTTATTTAGTTGGAAAAACCTAAGCTTAATAAGTGCAAACTTAGACGGTGACTTTTCTAGTTGTTAGAATTTTGCAATTCCCACCGCAACTCTGGTCAGTGTTCGGGTCGAGTTAAACACCTTAGTGCTTTTCGATGCTAGCGCGCCGTTGACAACTTGAGCAGTGTTTGTTAAAAGGTTGACTGCCTTCTCTTGCTTTGAAGGATTATACAGTACATTAAAAATAAATAATTTTACTTTTATATTATGAGACTACATGAAAATATCTGTCTATATTTCTGAGATGGGTCATTGTAACTATTTACACTATTTACATTGTTCGGACTACCACCTGAAGAAGGCCGAAACGTTGTGAATATGACAACAAAGATGGGGACAGCAGCATGAACAATGTAAATAGTTCCTGAAAAAAGTTACCAAAAAATGGTCAACAAAGAAAATTCTCTACGCACTTTTAAGTCGTAACATCGGACAATTTTAGTAAATAAATTTCGTCACTAATTCCGCTTGGAAACTAACAATGTTTGAAAATGAAATTCAAAGACATAGTACAGACATATTATTGTGTATCAGAAGTATTTTCGTTTTTTTTTTTTTAAGTCAGTTAAAAATATTGCTGTTATTAAAACATATTTTTATATTTTCATAGTGTTTTGAACCCTTTCTATTTGTCCATAGATGGGACCCTGACTGGTGCTACCACCCCGGGTCAGGGTGGACCTGGGAACACAAGCCATTAATAGGTGGTTCCACTCGCCTCAAAACCTTCTGATCAAAGGCGTTTCTCTCGAACGTAGTTTATTGTCTTACCCAGGACCCGGATGTAGTTTATCGTCTGACCCAGGACGCTATTTTTCTGAAAGATTTCGCTTGCTAGTAATTGTTTAATCATCTACCTTGAATTTAAAAGCATCATAGTCAACAGCTGATGGAGGTCTATATCTGGATTTTATTGCAAGATCCACAATTCAGTCAGTTAAGTATCATAATTGATACGCGCTTGGGCGAACATGTCTGTTTTGTTTCTTGAAAAGGTATATAGAATCCAGTCTGTCCCGCTATTCAACCCATAGTTGGGAAGGGAATGGATCGATTCATACCTTTCCCAAGAGTATTTGCGCCTAAGTGAATACAACTGAAATTCGTACTTGGCTCAACAATTATCTCATTCCGAGCCGATATCCATTGCACCACAACACAAATCTCTAAGAGATAACTCAACATCCTGTAAAACGCCTAAATATATTTAGCTGAACACTTAAATAGGGTTTACCACCTTTCACCTTTAGAATTCTGCAATCAGCAGGTGTTATTATTATTGTTATTCCAGAGGAAGAAGTTACTGTGATTTTTCTTATCAGGAATCTCAGCAATTTCTGGATCTACAATACGCCATTTTATTCCCAGGTGCTTACTGATTCAGGTAACCTACAAGGAATTTAAAACTAAACCCTTTAATTAATCTCCAGGGGTAGATTGTTCCCATTCGTCTTCCCATGTCTAGGGTGGGTGGTATCGCTGCCAATTTTATTTAATAGTTTCCATTGAGTCCAAATACACACTATCTGGCCCAGCAGTTGCACTCACGAAATTCACGACCCAAAGGTTTAAACCACTATCCTATTTCACGACCCAAAGGTTTAAACCACTATCCTATTTCACAACCCAACGGTTTAAACCACTATCCTATTTCACGACCCAAAGGTTTAAACCACTATCCTATTTCACAACCCAACGGTTTAATCCACTATCCTATTTCACGACCCAAAGGTTTAAACCACTATCCTATTTCACGACCCAAAGGTTTAAACCACTATCCTATTTCACGACCCAACGGTTTAAACCACTATCCTATTTAAGCTATGTTGGATACTTAAACCTAATCTGCTGCGTCCACAATCACGCTTGACTGCACTCATTGAAGCAGCTCTTTAGAGAGTGACACCACAGTGTAGATTAGTTGGCCGATTCAACCTGGTGTACTGGTCAGCAAGGTTGTCTCGCTAGATTAATGACGACTGATTAGTGAGCTCGATCCTCACAAGGAGCTCCATACTTTCGGTCTTGTGCCACATCTAAGCTTCACTTAGTAAGTCATTATGCGGACACGTCGATGTGATATAATGGTTAGCAAGCTTGTCTCCTTAAAACAATTACGACTGAATAGTGAGTTCGATCTTCACTGGGTACCCCATACTTTCGGCCGTGTGTCAAATCTAAGATACGCTTAGCAAATGACGATAGTTTAAACTTTTATCGCAAACTAATGAATTTTGTGCCAAACATCTTCTCTATGTCGATAGTTATCTAGTACTTGTAAATTATTTGTATTCGATACTAAATGGTCAGTATATGTGGCCTTATACCAGACTAATTCAAGATAATACATACCTATACACTTCAAAACGTACAGTCATTTAAGTTCACACGGATCCCTAGCCAATGCGCTCATCGCACTCTCCTTAAAGCGAGGTAAAGAAATTTGCGTGGGGAGAACTTTCAAATGCTCAATAGTGGGAGATTGCTAAGAGCTATAAGTCAATCGAGGTACTCAGTGGACATTTCCTGCGCTGAAATTGACATTTCTACTTTTGCCCGCGATCGAATTGCCAGCCTCATGTTTAGAAAAGAACCCAGCAAAATGCAAAGGTTGTTCCACAGATTTCGCTCAGTGCATTCTTTTGTTATATTAAAAACTTTTATTGTCTAACACCAAAGCCGAAGTTCGTCTTCCTCGCTTGATTTCGACGTCCTTACGATCGACCACTTTCGCCTAGGTGTTTCGCTTTATTTTTAATCTTTGTTTCATTTTGTTTTTAAATTAGACCTGGTAATCTTTTCTTTCTTTCTTTCTTTCTTTGCCGTTCTCTTTTTCTTTCCAGATTATCTTTCAATTTCACTTTTTTTTTTTTTTTTACCGTTTTCACTCGCTCTTTTTTTTCTTTGAATGCTTTGCTTTCTCTTGACAATTCTTATTCTAATCTCTTACTTCTCCCTCTTTCGCTCAGTCTCTCTCTCTCTCTCTTTGTGTTTTAAGATTCTTCTCTTATTCTTTATTCGGTTTTCTCGATCTTCGTCTTTTCCCGCCTTTGCTTCATTCCTTTTCTTCTCTCGTGTGCTCTTTGACTTCTCTCTCTCTCTCTCTTTCTTTCATAACATTTGTTCTTTTTGTTGCTTTTCCTTCTCTACTCCATTTTAATTTCTCTCCCCCTTTCTGTATTGATTTCTTTATCACTCCATTCTTCTTCTTCTTCCTCCTCTTTTCGTCCCTTTATTTCATTTATGCCACATCTTCCATGATTCTACTTCTTATTCTTCTTCTCATTTTTCTTCTTCTTATTATTCTACTTCTTATCATTATTATTATTATTATTAATAATAATCGACCTTCTCTTTGTCTTTAGTCTACTTTTATTTTTGTTCTCATTCTTAACAATATATTTTCTTACTCTTGTTTTTTTTCCCAATTCTGTTGCCCTTTGCTTTTTCTTTCTTTTCGTTTCCTTCTTCATCATTAAACCAAGTAATATGAGTCCATGTTTAGACTCGAACGCGCACTTTACATTGAAGAAATAACCATATAACTTCGAACAATAAATTGAATTTATTCACACCCCTCACCATTTTTCATTAAATTTGATCTTACACGAAAATATTAGCAAATTCTCTCTCTCTCTCTCTCTCTCTCTCTCATTAAATATATCAAAATTTCAAAAGTAAACAAAATATGGAATTCTAGATAAGAGTATTTTGAATAAATCGGAATAAGTCTTTTTTTTTTTTTTTTTTAAGTGATACTGCTAACAGCCGGATGAAAGTAACTCACGATTCTGTCTGCAACTTGTTTTTATACATTTTTTATTATGTTTTGCTAAACAAATTTTCGTACGAATTTTCATTTCCCAAAGAGAAATGAAATAGAGTAGCCTACTCAAGTTTCACGGCAGACTCCCGGCAAATTGTTCTAGTTTTCCTTTTTAAAGAGATTTTTTTTTTTACGCAGAAGCCGTTTTCTTTTTTCTTAGTCTCAATTTCTAGTCTACCTTTGTTGTCGCTGGCAAATTCTACAGACTGTATGTATCCGTATTTAAAAAAAAAAAAATACTGTCTTGAAGAAAATCGAACTTAGAAGATTTTTAATACGCGTTTTTTAAAGGGATTTGTTAAAAGAGTCGGATGACGTCGGAGGATCAATCACTAACTCTCATCTTTTTTTTTTCATAACGCTTAAAGTGTTGGAACAACTTTAAAAGCTACTTAAATAATTGTAAAAACAAATACTATAGGATTCAACTTAAATAATGTTGCTTTTATATGCGTTTAATGTTTCCTCCTTTTTTAAAAAAACATTTCTTATCGCTATCAAGGAAAATCGACATAAATCCGTTATCAAAATAGATTCCTCTCTTTTCTTTATACTGCGTTTCAACTGAATTGTGTATTTTATCAGAAAAAGAATTCCAGTACTGGTTCTCTAAATAATTGACGAACGTTTTAAGCATGCTTAGATTGTTGTAACTGTTGGCCAGACAACGTGTGTAGATTGCAGTGAAATTATTGAATACGACCGGTTTATAGAATTCGCTAAATGAAAAGGAACGTCACGTTACAACTTCTTGATTCTTTGTATTTGTAATTTGAAGGGAGTAGGTTTTATGCAGTAAAACAAATAGCGGTAGATTTTATTACCTAAATATTTTTTTCTCTTCTAATGTGTCTTTCAAACGAACCAATTGTTCACTGGTGTACAAGAGCTTCATAAAAGATTGTCCATTTCTTGAGAATCTCATTTATCGAAGGCAATTTTTGTTTTATTTAATTCTTGTAAGGTAACCACTCTCGGGTTTTCTCCTATCACTAGAATACAGAATCTATATATATATATATATATATATATATATATATATATATATGATTAAGTAATGAAAATATTGGTAATCCCAAGCCGCATGAAACCCAGAGAGCTTAATGGTAAAACAGTGTGATTAATTCAATGAAAACAGACAACTTTATGGTTCTATTGGTTATAATTTATTTCCCCAGGGAATTTCTTTTTCTCTGGCTCATCAGACTTTCAAGGATGAAAAAAACGATTTTAATTACATATATTTTTAAACACTTCTGAAGGGTAGTATTAAGTTGATGGAAGGTGATATAGAAAGTGGGAAGAAATTGTGACAGACATGGTCGAATTTAGAGAGGGAAGGGAGGGATAGGTGATTTTAAATATATATATATATATATATATATATATATATATATATATATATATATATATATATATATATATACACAAGTATATAATTGGTGTATACGGAATGAATTCCAATAACCGACAATTACTATTCTTAAAAGAGTGCTCAATACAAAGTAGAGCAGATATAATTATTTAAAAAAATTATAACATAAATATGTTATAAAATCACTACAAAAATAGACATTTTGTTTCAACACCACTTGCTAAGACAACGAGGGTGTTGAAACAAAATGGCTATTTCTGTAGTGATTTTATAACATATTTATGTTAAAATTTTTAAAAAAATAATTATATATATATATATATATATATATATATATATATATAGTAAAATAGAAGAACAAATAGGAAACGTATATCATTTTAACATGTTTCATTTTTATTAAAGCCTAGTCAGAGTTCGAGAAAAAAACAGACAAAAAGACAGACAACACTGGTGAACACATCACGTGATCTAAAAGCCCGCATCCATGAAGACAGATGAGAAAACATAACTTTGATTTCACTAATGTCACCCTAACTAAAAGAGATCATAATTCTTTAAGGAGAAATTACATTGAAAACTTAATAATAACATTATTGGCGACTCTAAACACACGCCTAAAACATTACATTACATCGACATCTTTGAAGCCATTCTTAAATAATCTTATATCTAAGTAAAAGAAAACATTCTTAAAGTGACGAGCCATAAATAAGAACTTTTTTGCTCCCCACTGCGTGGATTGACTGCACAAAGATGAAGATAAAATCCTCATAGAATAGATACACGAATACAATTACAAATACGCATTACTATCCGATGCCTACTTAGACATAAGTAAATTTTCACAAACTTAGGTACACATAGAATTATCCACGATTTTAATACAAGTGTCTGACGAATGACATCCGAAACAAACGTAATTGAAAATATCAGTGTCTTTTAGTCTGTTTTCTATCAATATCTGAGGAAGCTTTTATAAAACTGAAACTTGTTAGACTGATATAAGTATCCTATTTGTTCTTTTATCATCCTGTCGGATATATATATATAGTACAGGTAAACGATCCGTTGGCATATAATCCGGGGAGATCCTAGTAATATTAATTATTAAAACTGATCCACAGAAAGTTCGATGTATTTATTATAACAGAGCATATTTATGTTTACAGCAAAAAAAAAAAAAATTATCTTAGCACGGGGATAGTCTATTCCAAGCCGGTCTGTACGCAGCTATCATCAGGCCCCTAAGTGAAACACTATTTTCAAACCGCGTACAGACCGGCTTGAAATAGACTATCCCTATGTTGAGGTAATTTAAATATGTAATATATATATATATATACGTATGCGTACGTATGCTGACAAAAACACAGAAGGGAAAATAGATCTAAGAACATCTTCTTTACCCTTTCTCGGACCAGTCTTAATTGTTTTAGTACGCCTCACGCAGAATTTTTTCACTGCCAGTTCAAGAAAGACATTTGGGTCACTTACACAAAAAAAAGAGAATGTCTAGTATCGAGAATATTTAACATCGAAAAACATAAGAAAAATTAATTCCTTTTAATAATATGAGGAAATATCCACTCTTTGCCTGATTAAGGTCGCGATACCGGAAACACGTGTAGCAAAATTGTGGAAAATGAAGCATAATATATTTTTTTTAAAAATCCACATTACAACCGAAAACATTTACCGTTCCTCTCTTCTTTTTAATATGCACACTTTTCTCTCGTTGGAACTACTATAACCTCTTCCCTTTATATATATATATATATATATATATATATATATATATATATATATATATATATATTCGAGCAACAGATCATTAATCAAACATATATTGTTAAATATAACAGACAGCGAATATCTATCATGTTTGATCATGAGGCGTTCTAAGCTTCGTGTTCTTGCTTTAATTTCGGGTGAAAATAAAGACAAAAATTTTCCAACATTTCGTTATTTTTTATTAGGTTGAGCTATCTTTAGAATGTGGTTATATGCACATGTAAACAAAGATATTCACCATCAAAGATGATATTCTGTTATGTTTACATGGCTGTTTTAATATGCGACGTTATCGGTCCTAAATATATGTTTGATATATATATTTATAACGAAAATCTTGGTAATCCGTATGGATAATCCAAAGGAGGATGAAATCGTGAGAGCTCAATGTTAATTCAGAGCCAATAATTTAATTTAAGAAAAACAGACCACTTTAAGGCGATATTGTAATAATTTATTTCACCATAAAATTTTATTTTTCTCTGGATTTTCAGACTTCACTTTCAAATGGTGAAACGAAAAATGAATTTCAAAATTTACAATATTGACGGGCAGTATTAAGGTTATATAAATTGACATAGAGTGTGGTGAGGGATGATATAAGAGACATGGTCGAGTTTAGCCTTAAAGTGGTCTGATTGCTCTTTAAAATAATATATATATGTATGTATGTATGTATGTGTGTGTGTGTGTGTGTGTGTGTGTGTGTGTGTGTGTGTGGTTTCTGTTGACTCGAATATAAAGATGTCCACGTCTTCTTCTTATCTAAGTATGTAGTGCTGGTGTCCGTTCATGGTCACTGATTCTTTCGACAAGTAAATATCATAAAAGCTCTGTTTCATTACTGAAAATCAAAATTATTTTAGACATTTGTTTCTACCGTGTTTTCATGATTGATGTCCTTGCACCTGACTTCTAATGTTACAATTCACTTCAGCCTAGCTTCGGACAAGCAGATATGGCTACATTATTCCGAAACCCATTGAATCGCAGCCGACTTCCCAATACGACGTCGCTTTTATTTTTATTTTTATTTTCAGTTGATACTTTCTTTTGTATGGAGAATAGTTCCAAAAAGTAGAGCTTGACTCTGGTCTTCATTTTTGTAGCCTTACCTCCCGGGATTCCGAAGCCATGTTTATAGAAACCTTTTGTTTCATCTGTCTATGTCGACATTTTACACGAATATATTAGGCATTATATAACGCTAACATTGATATATGTTTGTGTGTGTGTATGCATATATATATATATATATATATATATATATATATATATATATATATATATATATGTGTGTGTGTGTGTGTGTGTGTGTGTGTCTGTAAAAAAGAACAACTTTGAGAGAAGGGAAAATAAGGATTATTAAA